TATACGAAATTTCGACACTTCACGATTTTTGACTTTTCGGTGGCGATTTATTTTCGGCGTGGGGTAGAAGGCATGGTACAGTGCGACAGATGCTGTGAAAAATTTCATCGGCGTTTTAATTTAGGTGTTTTGGGTCAGTGCCGAATATAGCCGAAATTAAATAGCTGCCGAAAATTTGTATATTTACAGTATGTTCGTTCTGCAAAGCTAAACGAACGAATGTTCGAATATTCGGGGTGTTCGTTCAATCCTAATTACGAGTTGAACATTTGATACCAGGACGCAATTGGAGTGACCAGAGTGGAACGAAGCGATGCGCCGTTAGAATCGATTCAGTTTGATTTGGCTTTCCCTATACAGAGAACACTTGAGGGTCAAAACTGAAGGTGCACAAATACGAGTACGTGAAGTGGACGAGAAACGTGCGATCTCAAATAATTGTACATGTGGTGTCTCAAATTCTAGCTGAAAACGAGGCAAACACAATATTCCCGCGAATATAGTACTTGCTCCCGCGAATATAGTACTTGCTCCCGCGAATATAGTACTTGCTCCCGCGAATATAGTACTTGCTCCCACGAATATAGTACTTGCTCCCGCGAATATAGTACTTGCTCCCGCGAATATAGTACTTGCTCCCGCGAATAAAGTACTTGCTGATGTTGCCGGTGGCAAGTTTCCAAAAAGCAGGGCTTCATACAACCTGCGTACAATCTCACCTGTTACCGCATTCTCTGCGAATACCTCAGCATAGAGCATGTACTCTAGTTCACCAAACGAATGCAGCCACTTGTCGACTTCCTTCGCTTGCCAATCACTCACTATGAGCAGAAGAAACATGCACACACACACACACACACACACACACACACACACACACACACACACGCACGCACACACGCACGCACGCACGCACGCACACGCGCACGCACACATGAACACACATGCACATGCATGCACACATACATGTACACCACACACACACGCGCATACACAGACACACACACACACACACATGCACACACACGCGTGCACACACACACGCGCGCACACACGTACACACAGACACGCACAGATCTACACAGATCCACCCACCACTTGAGGTGCTCTGTGCGCAGTGACATCACAATCACCACATTTGCAGTTCATTACAAAGCATGAACGATGACATCACTTAAGTACAGTACAGTTGGGCGCTGAAGAACGGAGCGCCGAAGAACGGAGCGCCGAAGAACGGAGTGCCGAAGAACGACCAGGCTAGAATTTCATCAAGCACAGTATACCAATGCATAAGTTACACGCTGACTCAACTGCAGTACAGTAAAACCTGTCAAGGCGACCACTCCGATAAGGCGACCACCTGTCCTAGAAGACCACCGCGACCAGGACCAAGGGATGCTATTTCCAGTCAAACGACCCTGGATAAGGAGACCACCTGGTAACGGAGACCACATTTTGAAGGTCCCTTGTGCGGTCGTCTTAGACAGATTCACTGAACATGTACATGAAAATAGGAACGGTAGGAGGCTAGGAGGCAGACCAACAGTACATGTAATGTCTGGAGATGCACGCACACACAGGCACACGTGCTCCTGCCTTTACTCACCATCGGCCGAGGATAATCCGTTGATACTTGTTCTGCTTGCGTCCTGCCACAGTGAGAAAATGACACAGCACGAACAACATGTTCAACTTTACGTGGGCACGCGACATTCAGCCACCTACTGTTTCACGATTCTAACTGCTCTGCAAAGCTGAGATCCATGTGCTTCATTTGATGTCCATAACGCTTGCGCTAGGAAAAAGGAAAATCCTCTGGCCGCATGCTCCACAAAACTGCGAAGTCACGAACAAAAAATTTCGCGATCGCTCCAGGCCATGATTTCCGTGTTCATTTTGTTTGCGCTCAGTGAATCTTTATCCTATCGCAAAGAACCTTCATCTCTGGAAAGCTGAGTTCAAGACGTTTCCAACTTTTTCCAACGGTGTGTCGTTTGTGGATATTGGATACTTTTTCACAGAGTAACGACAGTTTGTACAATGGTCTATTCACCGCGATGCACGATGCAAACGAAGCGTGTGTAAACACGTCATCAGAGAATCACGCAGGGTTTGAAGCGCACGTGTACACGTCACCCGCACGCAAAGGCTTACACCGATAGCAGCACCCACCTTAGCCAATGATGAGCGCGGTGGTGGCGGTCGCTTGGGACGCTGGGCAACAATCACCGGGGTAACGCGACGCGGCATGGCGACGGGAACGTCTTTCACGGTCGTCGCCGGCGACGATGACGACCCCGCGGCCTTTGCGTCCGAATCGCTTGCTGACTCGCCCGCGCCTGCCTGAGAGAGGTCCCCGTTGGTATCAGCCATGCTGGCGCCAACAGTTTCGGTGGACTTCTCGACACCAGACGTTGCTGCTGTCTCTGATCCCTGCTCCGGCTCCGTCGCTACTTCCCGCACATCCGTTGGCTGGTCCCATACGAGCGGTTCCAGCGACAGGTCCTTGCGCAGGCCATTGATGAGCACTAGAAGATGTTTGGTGCGCTGCACACCCAGCGTATTCCACACTTGCTCGGTCGCTAGACAGGAGACAGGGGACAGGGAGGAGGCAAACAGCGCAACACTAGTCAGCACGGGTAACGTTTTAGATGCATTGCTAGGATTTCCTGATCTGTGGCTGCAATCTGTTTCTTTTCCTGTGTGTGTGTGTGGGGGGGGGGGGGGGGGGATATTCGAGAGAACATTCGTTCGAAGAAAACACCATCCGTTGCATTGACAGAAAACAGCACTTCTCCTGTAAAAAGACGTTCATGGCCAAAGTAGTTCGAGCTACCTAAGAAATCTGTCTCCGGAGGATGCACCCAGTGTGCTTACAGTGCTCAACACCGTGGAGGCAAAGTTAAAGTTTCATGCTTTCGCAATCAGCAGGCAACCCCTTCCCTGATGATAATATGTTGTTGTCGGATGAAAACGACAGCAACATATACACAACACTGACTGAAAACAACACGCTTACCTCTCAGCGAGAGCAGCTGCAGACCTTCCAAACCTGAAATGTCAATAGATGTACACGTACAAATACACACACACACACACGCACGCACACACGCACGCACACGTGCACACACACGCACACACACACACACACACACAGTTAGAACAGTCGGCCTCTACAGTCCATTCATAAAAAAGATAACATCCTAGCTTTTGGCCATAAGTGGGGCAAAGGTTGAGCGTTTTCATAATTTTTTGGTAAACCTTTACGGAATGCTCTTCCAATTTTGTTTCTGAAGTCTACTTCTCCAAAAAGTAAGCCATAACAAGAATAGGATTTCGGCCAGGTTTTGTCCCCACAGCACTGAATTGGGGAAAAACCATGAAAATTCAGGCAGTTCAATCCATTTAGATAACAGTACATTGTGTGGTCTGAATCCCACTTGAGGTACCTATTTCGGACCTTTTTCAAGTTTCAAAATTTGCGGCACTGCACCGTGTACGGCAAAATCACGAAAAATCACCATATACGGGAGCTCGCCAGAGCCAGCGCTCATCTTTTCCTGAATGGACTGCAGTCGAATCTCACGCAGACCGTGAATTTGTTTCGCAATATAATAATATCCAAACTATGTTGTGTGGAAACAGCCGCACCTCAAATTGCACTGCTTTCTACACTTCACTCCAAAATTCTTTTATTTAGTCAACATTTCGGTCCATGACCGTCATCAGGAACGAAGAAATGTATGGACGGCTGGGGCTTTGGTTATCGTGTAGTATGTAGTATGTACAATAACGTCTGTTTTTCCCGTGCGCAGTTCTCCCGTATGTTATTCGGGGAACTACAACAAGCTCCAGCCTTCCAAACATTTCCTCGTTTCTGATGATGGTCATCGACAGAAATGTTGACTGAATAAAATTTGTTTGAGTAAAGAGAAGAAAGCAGTGCAATTTGAGGGTGTTGCTGCAAGCCCACAACATAACTGGATATAATGAATCTGCAAGAAGCGTTCAAGCTCATCTTGGACAATAATACACATCGGTGTGTTGAAGAAGTTCTCACCTTGAACCCGGTCGATATCGGCGGCGTCCTCGTACTCGTTGACCACGAGCCACTTGCGTACCTGCAGCGCCGACCACTGCCACGCCGGCATAGTGGCGGTTCTGACGGACAGGCGACGACGCACGTCAGCACTCGAACCCGGCCCAGGGCTGCTGGACGGTGACGACTTTCCGGAGGTGGTCTCCGCGGCAACGCTGCGGCCAACCAGGGCGGCGGTCGCGCCGCTCTTCCGCGCCGTGGCCGTCGTCGGCGTGGACGCGCGGCTGCCCGGGTTAGAGGGCGTACGCGCCGGCAACCGGGCGTGTAACGTGGCGGAGATCTGGCGCAGCGCCACGTCCACGTTGGGCGGCGGGCGGTCGGGAACGCGGCGACTCTGCGGTGACGACGACGAGCCAGCGGTGACGGACACCGAGCGTGTCCTCGCCTGCACGTCCTTGGCTTTGAGTCCGACGGCAGGACTGCTGCCGAGTGCAAACGAAGCCGTGCGCGGACTCTTAGGGGACGGAAATACTGCGGCGGTGGCGGCGACCTCGTCCCGGTCAAAGACGGATGCGGTGTTTGCAGCAAGACTGGCAGGCGAATCTACTGCTATCGCTTTGGAAGCGGAACTCTCACTGTGGGGAGATTTCGACTCCATCGCCTTGCTATCCACACTCGCCGACACAGCGTCAGCAGCAGCAGCAGCAGGTTTAACGATGTCAGCGTCGACAGCTGGAACGGCGTTGCGCTGGCTGCGCGCTGCTGCTGCATTCAGCGCATCCTTATCTCTCGGCTTGCACTCGGTGTTGAGATCGGCAGTGGCAGCATCACGCTGGCATGCCTCCTCGACCGGTGCAGTGCGGGGGCTGCTATTCGCTGCGCGTGCGCTGGTGTCCCGTGTCACCGCTGGGGAGCTTCTGGTTTCCTCGCTGGCTCGTGGTGGCGATGAGGACGCCGCCGCTGCCATGGAGATCTGACTTGGCTTGCCGGTGGCGGTTGGGCCTGACAAGGACGATGGTTGTCTGGCCGGCGAGGGGAACGGCGATACCTGTACACTACTGGAGGCACTGGCGGAGGAGGAGCGGGACGTCGGCGTGCTGCTGGGAGCGGCAAAGATGTTGACAGGACCTGTGCAGCAACAGGAGCAGCAGCAGCGGCAGCAGCAGCAGCAGCACACCACGACACGGGACGGCCAGCATCAATCAGATAACATCGCTTATTCTAGGTGCGTCGGACACGCTGCGTTCACTACGGTTTTGACCGCACCACTCTTTGCCCCAGGTGCACTGTGAATTAACAAAAGGCACTGATTTGGGCTCTAAATTTTGAAATTTGTCAGAGGAGACACCCTAACCCCACGAGTAAATCGCACTGCAGGTGACTCACAGTACCACTCTAAAATACCTTGCGACGTCCCTGCTTATACAATCAATCTCCTTACCGTGTTTCCGGAATAGATAGGAAAAACCAATTTCTTCCTTGTTTCTCTGCAACAATGAATTTCATACTAGAACTTTTTCCAGTCAGAATGCCAATAGGGTGCCATATGTCCCATACCGAGGGTTGAAAAAGATCCGACTTCTTTTGGACAATGGAGAGCCGAAATACTGAAATTTCCCTATCTACTCCCATACAAAGTCTATCTCTCTGACGTCATAAACCCAGCCTGGTCTGGGCAAGTTATTGACGTCATCATGATGTCACCAAATTTAGTGCAAACTTCAAGCTTGTATAACTCGGAAACGGCTGCTCCGATCAACCTGGGACCTTCACCATTGGAATCAGTGCATCTTTCGCTACAGGTTGTGAAGTATTCACTTTAGGGCGAACTTCCCCATCAATATGTTCTTTCCTTTGTTCTTTCTTTTTCCTTCTCTTGCCATGGCTGGCTAACGCCCCTTCTTTTTCATTGGCTTCTGCCATTGGACGGTGAAATAAAATAAAATATAATAAATACTACGATGGTCAAATTTAACCATGATCGGGCTACAGGTACAGTGGAACTGTGGTAAGAAAAAGCCCCATGGGCAGCGTAGCACCGACGTTGGAAGTGGTATAGCCGGAGGGGAATTTTAGAAATTAGGGTGCAACATTCTGAATTCTGGGCACGTTTGGGCATTGTGTTAAAAAGAATGGTCCGGCCAAAGCCGGACTGGCTGCTACGCCCCTGGATGTGCACTCGGTATCCAAGGTATGTCGTATCCTAATGCTGTGTACGTGATGTGATAAGGCGCGCATGCGCCTGGGCTCGTGGCTGGTTGTGCATGCTTGCTGTGCTGGACTAGGTCCGAGAATGTGAGCTCTCTTTTCCTTGTCTTTCTGTTCCTTGATTATTACAATAACTGTACGAACCTGAGTAATGCTGTGTGTGGGCCCTTAGGGCCAGAGAACCTGAGTAATGCTGTGTGTGGGCCCTTAGGGCCAGACATAACACCTAATAAACCTCAGCGCTACAGTACTACGCGACCGCCGACTGCTTGGCAGCAAAGGGCCACACACACGCTGCTTACTGCCAAGTGTGCATTTCCTCGTGTTCATCCACGTGCAACTTGTGCTCAACAGATCACCTCTTTGTTATTGAGTACATCTGCTTGTTTTGGTCACTGTGAATTAAAATAAAATAAAACAACGTCAACACTGCTTTATGTCTCACCTCTTAGTAGCAACATCTTCTTGCGCTCGGCCGGATCCAATCCATCCTGGTCGTCAGCACTTGACATTGGCGACACAGGAGAGTGCATGAGCAGTGACGAGGAAGACGGCGACGACGGAGTCTTGGACGGGGTGCTCAGATTGTCCCCGTGTGCCGCGTGCCGCTGTACGGCGAACGAGGAGCTGTTGCCACGGGGACGAACCAGCGGGGGCGTGTGCGACGACGACAGCGGCGAGTCGGCTCGCTGGTTGCCGCCGGAGTTGATGGCCGCGTTGGTGGTGGGCGTCTTGCTGCGCTGGCTCAGCGACGTCGTCGAGCTGGAGTTGGAGACGCGAGGTGAGCTTCCACTGCTGCCATTGCCGCCGGCGCCTGTTTGCGATGACGACGCGGAGGCTAGGAAATTCTACAGCACATGCGAACAAGAAGAGAGAAGAGACAAATCCAGCGAGAAAGTTCGAACGCAGCAAAGCTTAAAGCTACCACAAACCAAAAACCGCGAATGTTTTCGGTATCAATACCACTCTATGCGCTGCATTGTCAGTGCAGCGTGCGTATCAGGAAAGGCAATGGATTAGCTGGCAAAAGGGAAACCGTATTCCTATGTTCAACTCTTCCCCACAATAGCAGATCATCATGTAGTTACGTCGTTTCGAGGTGATGTGCAAAGAAATAGGGTAAAGAATAATAGTTACGCAATCACATCATCGTTTCGAGGTGTTTCGTATGGAGACGGGCATACAATTACTGTGGAACCTAGACAGCCAGCACCACAAGCATGTGCAACACCGGCAGCACACCAACCCCCCCCCCCCCCCCCCCCCTCCACCACCAACACCCCCAGCATAACCAGCACCCTGCCATGAAGGTAGAGAGACACTGGGCATGGAATTTAGAGGTAACTAGAGAGAAGCTGATAAAGAGAAAAAAATGGAAACTTACAGGTAGATAGTGACGTGCCCAAGCTCTGGACACCTCCAGCTCCGAGCCACCCTTCTCATAACTGGGCGTGAGTACGGTGAACGTGATCGGACTTCCCGGCATGTAGTTGATCAGGTGAATGATATCCCCATGACTACGACCACTCACGTCATGGCCATTGACCTGTGGATAGTCAGCACAAGTAGAGAATAGTGCCCGTGAGCAATGAGCAAGTAACACACAAACTACTGTACAAGAAGAAATATTCGTCTGGAATATAATTTCGTCTTTTTCGTCCAAGGAGCTTTGGGACTAAATTAAATGCTGGACGAATGTCAATGTGTCCAGCGTTTCAACACAGTGTTATAGTCCATGGACTAAATTCCAACCGGACGAAATCCCTTTCTTTGGAGCTGGACGAAATTATTGACCGACGAAATTTTCTGCCTCTGCAGTATCTTACGCGCTTAGTTTTCACTGCCGCAGTATCAGTGTGGGGAAAGTCGTGGCACCCCCCTTGATCACTACCCTGGCTACGCCCCTGGCTATGCGTGTCGAATGGATGTGCATATTTTACATTCTATGACTGTGTATATTCATTTGTGTGGGTGTATATTATATATGTATAATCTGGCTTTGGAAATTTTATTTTCATTGCTATCAGGTTCTGCCTCATTTTCTCTGTGTTGCGCTGATGAGTCCACAAAGGACTGGTACCGAAACCCGATCGAACAGAGCCTTAGGACCGGTCGAGTGTGGACGAAACAGTTCTGTCCGCACATTGAGTGATTAGAAACGAAAAATGTTTGTCTCTGAAGCTACCATGTACACTCGTGGAGAAAGAGGCGAACTAGTCTACCGTATTATCTCTAATACAAGCACAGTCTCCAATAATAGAACACCTTGGAGCGGCATTCAAAAAATAAAGTGCTCAGTCTCCATTATAAGCACACTGTGTAAATTCATTGTCTGTACCGGCGGAAAAACCCTGAAATGTGTGTGTGTGTCTGACATGAATTTGGCCATGGCAACATGCTTATGAAATGAGGTTGAAATAATAATGGAACAGTCTCCAACAAAGGAACGTCTCCATTAATAGCACGGGGCGGAGGTACATTGAAAAAATAAAGGACCGTGCTTATATTAGAGATAATACGGTACTTCAACAGTGCGTGCGTATTCAGCGCATACAACAGCAGGGAAAGCCCCGGCAATCATAATCGTGTGCACGGTGCATGCGCATTCAGCGCCTCATACGACAGCAGGGAAGGCTCACCTTCACGATGAGATCTCCGTGTTGCAGACCAGCATTGCACGCAGCACTCCCTGCCAGACAAACACACACACACACACACACACACACACACATGCACACACGTGCAAGCACGCACACACACACACACATGCACGTGCAAGCACGCACACACACACACACACACACACACACACACACACACACACACACATGCACGTGCAAGCACGCACGCACACACACACACACACACTGTACTTGCTCACTGCCAAAACTGGTCACGTGGGTCTCCCCGGGAGAGGGGAGAGAGACTCCAAAGGAATCTTGGAAAGATGACTCAATTGGCCATTGAACCACCCAACGGCCGACACCCCCTGAAATCCCCAAACTAGGGTGGACTTGAAATGATCCCACTTATGGGCTCACCACACCTCAGTAAGTGGGTGAGGACAAGGTGCAGAAAAAGGATTGACGGCATCAGGGTATCCGTCCCGGGATCCAACTGCAGTTACCCCTGCCCCCAGTGAAGGTAATACTTGGTACTAGTGTGGGTGGCTAAATCAGAGTGGATCTGATAAAAGCTTCACTAGCACCATTGATTACACAAGAGTTTATCTAGCCAGAACACACACACACACACACACACACACACACACACACATTTCATCACTTTTCGGATAATGGCCCCAAAAAGATCCAATTCATGTGCAGGGTTTGTATCTACAGTCAACTTCGCTAATAATGACTGCGGATATAACGACAATTCGCGAATAACGACAGAATTTCCATGTCCAGAGCAAAGTCACATCCAATTGTAATACATAATAATGAGACTTCGGGTATAACGACACTTCGTGAATAATGACACTTTTCTGATGCCCCGCCGCCGAGTGTCGTTATACGCGAAGTTGACTGTAAATCCCAATCCGGGTTCCAGTTTGGAAATGGTTCCGGTCAGATTTCGAACGTGAAATTTTGCCTGGTGGTACCCCTAGACCTTTTGATAGGCTAACGCCCCCTTCTTTGCATTGGCTTCTGCCATTGGACGGTGAAATTAAAAAAATTAAAAAAATTACACTGAGCTGAAAATCTCAATTTCTCATATTTGGCGCTTATCGGGTTTCGCATCCCAGGCCTTCACATGCACAAAAGGACGACAAGTTTGTTGTGCAGAATTCCAGAGCATCCACAACAGTAGGTGGAATGTCAATCTATCTACCACCCTCCATTTCTACCTTCAAACCTTCGTCATTGCGAGAACTGGTGCAATATGCCTAGTGAGAAGGCAGATATCGTGACGTAAGATAAAGCTAAACAAACAACATGTCAGCGTGAAGTGATGGAGTTAGAAGGTCAACTGATGACAAAGGTAATGTGCAAGAAACCGTAATAGGTGTGTTTATACCAAGACAGTACAATACTCGCTATTCGTATTTCCCACTCCTTCACCATAGCAACGAGATCCCACCAAGAATAGAAGAGCGCATGCTCCAGTGGTTCTCTGGTCTGTATTCGTCTCACTCTAGTCTCTATTCTTCTCACATACGTCTTCCATCTAACAAAACCATCCTCACCTTGCTTCACTTGGCTGACCAGCACGGGAGCACTGGAGCGAAGCACGAATCCGTAACCGTCCGGACTGCTTTTCACCGTCAGTGATCTGTGGAGAACAGCGTAATGGACAACACATACAAACATGCAAAAAGAACATGTACATTATGCATACAGACAGACACACGCACGTACACGCGCACGTACACACACACACACACACACACACACACACACACACTTGGATGGCGAGCCAATGCAATCATGGATAAAAACGGAAGAACAGATTTATTACACAAAACCCTACCGTTTGGTGAGCTCAAATTCTCCCATTCTGCTCCCGCCAGTCGCAAGGGAGGCAGAAGACTCGGGCGCCGAGGAGACTGCGGGCAATGCGACCGTAGCGTTGTTGTCTCCATTGTGTGTCAGTCTGGGATGGAGGACGGCGATGAGAGTACGGAAATCCTCCAGAATGTCATCGGCGTGACTCTCCGTGCAATGCGATGGTTTTGCTGGTGATGCCTGAACGAGGCAGGAAAGGAGAAAAGAAAAGAGAGAATAGTGAGAATCTAGAAATTCTCCCCCTCTCAGATAGTCTTTTAACCCTCTCAGTGCCACAGGCGACTTTAGTCGCCCAGACTGAGTATGCGAGTACAAATAAATTCGTATCTCAACTTCTACACACAGGAGAGTTACAAACGACCACTCTACGTCTTCAGGAAGACCTTGGCTATCGACTCATCACAACGTTTTGTGTCCGTGAGGATAGATATCGCCAGGGCGAAGCCTGAAGCGCGCGCGCTCGGACAACCAATTGTCGCGCGTAGAAAACATGACGTATGCGCATCGCGGGTTTCTCTATTTCTTTCGCGGCAACCCATGCGTATTGGGTATCAAAACATCGAGATTTTTAGTGGCTTTCAGGCCAACTTTGTCCGAATTTCGTGCGTTGAAATTTGAGTGCACTGCGATCGATCGCGCGCGTGAGAAAGTGCAGATGCTACGAAAATGCAGAAAACGGACTTCGCTCAGGCGCCCTCGCGAGGAAGACTATTTTCGCTGCATTTTCTCTTCACAGCTGTCTGCCTGGCCATATCTTTCCAGAGAGCCATCGTTTGTAAAGATCCGTGGATATACAGCTGAGCTATGAAAAATTTGAGGTCAGCTCAGCTCGGAAAAATTTGAACTTTTCTGACCCCCTTGGCACTGAAAGGGTTAATGCGACTGACTTAAATTCTACATAACAAGATAAGCAGCACCTTTCGGTATGTTTATCAATGAAGTAATTCCACCTTCACCACATACGCTCTCTGGCCCACCTTATCACACCAGAGAGCACATGTGGTGGAGCTGGATATACTTCATTGACTTACATTCGCCTGGGTAACTCAGTTTTTCACAGTACGCGGACCGGTTGGGGGACGGAGAAGATAAAAATGTGAAAGTGGACGAACAGACGAATAGATGAACAGGTACACACTGGTATGGATAATAACATCCCTAAGCCCACCCCCAACAAACCCATCCTAAGCAGGCGCGTGCCCCGTATGGGTTCCCGGGTGCCCGGACCCCCCCCCCCCTTTTGCGCTCAAAATGCAGGACTTTGCTTCATTTTTTGAAAATTTTCCCGGGGGAAGCCCCCCGGAACTCCCCCTTGAAGGGCACCGGCGCACTAGGCCCTCGAGCCCCCCCCCCCCCCCCAAACACACACAGATACACACCCCCCCCCCCCCCCCACACACACACAAGCCGTGCCCCGTTTTATTGCTACATCACTTTCCAAGTAGAAGCAGCACAAGTAGATGTTAGCCATTGCTCAGTCTTACCGGGGAAATCGGCGCCAAGAAACTTGTGACCTGACAGTATGTAGCTGCATTCACACACGAAAGTCAGAGAAGGGGCTTCAGGCAGAATGTGAGCGAAGAGCGACCTAACTCGATGTGCACAGCTGTACAAAGTGAAATCCCCCCCCCCCCCCCCCCCCCTGCTGTGTCCAGCATGGTGTTAGGAAAGTAAAATCCAGCCTCTGTGTGTATACAGCCTACACAGTTTGGCAAGTGAGATCCAGCCCTTGCGTGTATACAGCCTACACAGTTTGGCAAGTGAGATCGAGCCCTTGCGTGTATACAGCCTACACAGTTTGGCAAGTGAAATCCAACCACTGTCTGGGTGTGGCTAACAGTTTTTGTAAGCGACATCTAAAAACTGGCTTGGAAATGATCCTGCTTATTTTGGCCTGCCACACCTCATTACGTGGGTGAGGATGACGTTCAAACCAGGATTAAAGGCACACACACACACACACACACACACACACACACACACACACACACACACACACACATACATGCACGCATGCACACACGCGCGCACACACACATGTGCGCACACACACACATGTGCGCACACACGCATACACGCACTTGCTTGAAGAAGAAACCTTGGAAAGATGACTCAATCGGCTATTGAACCATCCAACGGCTGACACTGACACACACACACATACATACACACACACACACACACACACACATGCACACACACACCTGGTCCTGGTCCTGGTAAACACTGCCATTACGGTCACGTGTCCCCTTACGGGGCCGACAATATAGAACGACGAGCGGGACCATGTTCGAGAGAGCCATCTCCAGCAGCTATGGCTCTGGCTTATCATCGGAAACGATTCCTCTCACGGCTGCCGCTAGAACTGGTCCATCACTCTCCACAACAGAGCGAACATTCCATGAGCCAACGCTCAGAGTCGTTCCAAGTCGTCGTCTTTGTGCGGTAGTTTGCTCCACTCGCGGGCTTGCAAAGCCTCGCGAAGGACTCTGAGGTGGGGGCGACGAGGAGAGTGTCGGCATCGTAACTATCCGACCAAGTCTCCTGTCGGTGAATACCCCACCTCAGGCACTGTTGGCCTGGACGGCTGGGGACACCCCAGGCCGTCCACAACGGCGAGAACAAGCACGGACGGAGGCCAGAAACAAGAGCCCGGAAAAGTACAACCGTCCTCCACCAGAGCAGAGAACACACACATTGCCAAGATGTTCAACTATTTGAAAGATTTTCTTATCGTCGGAAACAATTCCTCTCACGGCGGCCGCTCGAACTGGTCCATCACTCTCCACAACAGAGCAAACATTCCATGAGCCAATGCTCAGAGTCGTTCCAAGTTGTCGTCTTCGTGCGGTAGTTTGCTCCACTCGCGGGCTTGCAAGGCCTTGCGAAGGACTCTGAGGTGGGGGCGACGAGGAGAGTGTCGGCATCGTAACTATCCGACAAAGTCTCCTGTCGTTGAATACCCCACCTCAGGCACTGTTGGCCTGGACGGCTGGGACGCACACACACACACGCACACACACACACATACACAGACACACACACACATACACTCACACCTGATACCTGGTAAACACTGCCATTACGGTCACGTGTCCCCTTGCGGGGCCGATAATAATATATGGAACGACGAGCAACGGCAGTCCGCTGAGAGAGATACTAGGTCAGGGACTCAGGGACCATGTTCGAGAGAGCCATCTCTGGCAGCGATCCGGCTTATCATTGGAAACGATTCCTCTCACGGCTGCCGCTTGAACTGGCCCATCACTCTCCACAACCGTCAACATGAGCCAATGCTCAGAGTCGTTCCAAGTCGTCGTCTTCGTGCGGTAGTTTGCTCCACTCGCGGGCTTGCAAGGCCTCGCGAAGGACTCTGAGGTGGGGCGACGAGGAGAGTGTCGGCATCGTAACTATCCGACAAAGTCTCCTGTCGTTGAATACCCCACCTCGGGCACTGTTGGCCTGGACGGCTGGGGACGCACACACACACACGCACACACACACACATACACAGACACACACACACATACACTCACACCTGATACCTGGTAAACACTGCCATTACGGTCACGTGTCCCCTTGCGGGGCCGATAATAATATATGGAACGACGAGCAGCGGCAGTCCGCTGAGAGAGATACTAGGTCAGGGACTCAGGGACCATGTTCGAGAGAGCCATCTCTGGCAGCGATCCGGCTTATCATTGGAAACGATTCCTCTCACGGCTGCCGCTTGAACTGGCCCATCACTCTCCACAACCGTCAACATGAGCCAATGCTCAGAGTCGTTCCAAGTCGTCGTCTTCGTGCGGTAGTTTGCTCCACTCGCGGGCTTGCAAGGCCTCGCGAAGGACTCTGAGGTGGGGGCGACGAGGAGAGGGTCAGCATCGTAACTATCCGACCAAGTCTCCTGTCAATACCCCACCTCAGGCACTGTTGGCCTGTACGGCTGGGGACACCCCAGGCCGTCCACAACGGCGAGAACAAGCACGAACCAAGGCCAGAAACAAGAGCCCGAAAAAGTACAACCGTCCTCCACCAGAGCAGAAAACACACATAGTGTCAAGATGTTCAACTATTTGAAAGATTTTGCCATCGTCGGAAACGATTCCTCTCACGGTTGCCGTTCGAACTGGTCCGTCACTCTCCACAACAGAGCGAACATTCCATGAGCCAATGCTCAGAGTCGTTCCAAGTCGTCGTCTTCGTGTGATACTTTGTTCCACTCGCGGGCTTGCAAGGCCTCGCGAAGGACTCCGAGATGGAGGCGACGAGGAGAGTGTCGGCATTGTAACTATCCGACCAAGTCTCCTGTCGATGAATACCCCACCTCAGGCACTGTTGGCCTGGACGGCTGGGGACACCCCAGGCCGTCCACAACGGCGAGAACAAGCACGGACAGAGGCCAGAAACAAGAGCCCGAAAAAGTACAACCGTCCTCCACCAGAGCAGAGAACACACGCACACACACACACACACACACAGTGACACACGCTCACACAAGCACACACATACACACATACATACTTGTACTTGCTCACTGCCAAACTTGGTCATGTTGTGGGTCTTAGGGGGGGGGGGGGGGGAGAGAGAGAGAGGAGAGGGGAGAGAGACTCAAAAGAAATCTTGGAAAGATGACTCAATTGGCTATTGAATCGCCCAACGGCCACACCCCCTGAAATCCCCAAACTATGGGCATATACACACTCCCACACACATGCACACAGACACACACACACACACACACACATACATACATACATGCACACAGACACGGCTCGGAAAGCTTACTCATTAAGGAAGCCTCCATTGCAGCGGAGAGTAACGACACCGTCCGTATTGGTGTTCGTACGGCGCCTACACAAACGGAAAAGAACAACAACCCAGAAGAAACTACAGTAAAAACTGTGCCTGCCTGGTGACCATCCCTTGGGACCAGAGAAAGCAGTCCTTAGTGACAGGTGGTCCTTAGTTAGAGGTTTGCAGCGCACAACCATAAATGAATGTGAGACCGTCCTTGCCTGGCAAAGTGGTCTGTAGTATCAGGCTGGTCGCTAGTCACGGTGGTCTTTCGTTACAGGTTTCTACTGTACTAAAATCAGCAACACACGACTATCGATTCACATTTCCCAAGAGCTTGGCCGAAGACGACCGTTAGCGAGAGGTTCTGCCGCACTCTGAGGTCAATTAAATATTGTTTACTCTAATTTTATTTCCATGCCGCACCCAATGCTCGGCGCTCATTTCCCAAGTCCATTCAGCACGTGCGAATTTGTGGGCGGTTTACCACCGCTGACATTGACGCGTACGTGCATAATAATAAATAATAACCGTGAAATTAAATTTTTTAACGCTATCACATCTCAAGGTGCACCAACAAGTACGGGGAGCACTCCGGGACACACGGACACACGTCGGTTCCCCAAGACGGACGAGCGAATAATAATAATTATGTTCTTCGGACGCTATCCTATTTCAAGATGCACACAGAGTACGGGGAGCCCTCCAGGACACATGGACACACGTCGGTCTTCGAACGCTCTAGGAGCTGCATCTGCGCCTTGATCCTTGAAGAGTGGTGGCGTTCCTACGGATGCGGAAAGCCCGGCTTCCAGCCGAGTCTCACGCGAACCGTGAAAAAAATTCTTCCAACGCTATACTATCTCAAGATGCACACAGAGTGCGGTGAGCACTCCAGGACATGCGTCGGTCCCCCGAGACGGACAAGAAAATACTAACAACAATACCATGTTCTCTGAACGCTTTCCTATCTCAAGATGCACACGGAGTAGATCATGTACAGAGAGCACTCCCAGGAGGCCAGGACGACCGGTTTACCTGATCTGTGAAAGCTACGCGTGAACGTTAGCGGAGCATCAGCGACCGGCCTGGGAACGGCGGAGCGCCGTGGACACCTGGGCTTGACTGGCCGCTGCTGCTGTTGGTGCTGCCTACAACGGGACACTGCCGCACTCGCCATGCCGTGAGAGAGAGAGAGAGAGAGAGAGAGAGTGGGAGGCGCAGCGCACTCGCTGGTACTATGGCTACGGTTCAAACAATTTTAAAAACCGAAATATGTACAATATATTTCGGTGTTGTGAAAAATTGATATCAATTTTCCAAACCAGGCAAGTGGTTTGTTTCTACTCATTCGCAGCTGAAGTGCAAAGTCTAGTATCAATAACAGCCTGCACAGGTGTGCGCCCAGAATCGTTCCACGTCCTGGCAGAAAGGAAACCCAGAAAGGAAACGCCAGGAAACGCACACACGCTCCAGTGCGTCTGACAGGTGACTTGGGCTGTGCACAATTCTATTCCACTGGCTGCTGGGCAATCACAACAATTCTCAGCTCTTAGGCAAAGCCTCCACCGGTAGTAAAGCGGTACAGCACGGCTGAATATGGTGCTAATGGTGACACTGAGCTCACACTGTGCGCTGCCTCTCTTTCCAATCAGCTGGATGCCACTCTTGCCAGAACTCTTCCAGGTCAAATTCGGCGCACTGAAGCCACTTCAAACAGCTTGGGCCGCGTCAAGAAGCACTCCAGACACAAAACATGCCACTCATCACCGGGGAAATCCTTGCAGTTTGAGCCAGGGCCACCATAACCCGTGCACAAGACATCTTCTCTTCTTCGACCTGACTTGTGACTAGTTAGTTAGTTAGCTTCTCGCGCGGTCTCTCGGCTAGTACTAGTGCTAGAGATCGCCGGCTGAGGTAGGACACAACGCGATGCCATCAGTCATACCGTAAATGTATTCGTAGGCGTATAGCATTTCCAGCCAGCAGGTCATTGCTTTTCCAATACCAGATATGGTCGAACGGTGAGGCACAGAGGAAGGCGACCACCTGCCAATTATCAGCCGCCGTTTGGTTAGAATGGTGAGCGGATATATCCACCCGCGTTGCAGAGGGAGAGAAGCATATCTGTGCACTGACATGTATTTCCTCTCCATCGGGAGATCTCGTAAAACGCCTCATTGCCCTTGCCGTGTCAACTGCAACTTGCAAGCTACCAGAAAAACCTGCAACAAAATGCTGCTGGGTTGCGTACAGGGATAGCGAAGGCTTCGACTTCGAGTAAAGAGTGCAAGCCAAACCGAAACAGGTCTTGCCCGCATCGCTTCATGTACGGCATTATTTGGCACAGAGATACGATTCTCGATAGGCCCATAGGGTCCGCTCGCACGATGCATGCACCCCGGCACTGGCCAATGACCATGTCAACAATAATGTACGTCAACGAAAACAACACAACAAAGAATAATAATTTCAGAGCAACACAGGCAGCCGTCAGTGCCGCTTCTCGCTACAGCTCAAGATGCTTGTCCCCAACTAACTAACTTCATGAACAGCGAGAAACATACTGACACGATCGGTCTACCCTTGGCTCGACAACTAGAGGGTGATCGACACCCGAACAACATTACTTTACGAGCCGAGCAAGACACGAAAGATAAGAGACGGCTGTCGGTGTCGGTGTTAGGGTTGGTGGGTGGCCCAGGGTCCGGCTGTGTTGGTAGCTGTGCCCCAGATGCAGAGCTGGTGACTGTCGCTGTCCAACACACGCAACGTCGTTACAGAACATACAACAGAGAACAACGCCATAGAAGTTTCGCGCCCAATCAGTTTCAATAACTATTGCAAATATTTACAAACCCTGCTGAGTTGAACGCGTAACTCCCCAGTGTCTGTGCACTAGCTGTTGCTGCAGATATGTGGCTCTTCGTTCGCGACTATTTCCTATTGGTGCGCCACAAGCAAAAAAATCAACAGGGTGATGAACAACGATTTCCGCCCAGTGCAGTGACCTACCTGGACGACCTCCAGCCGCAGCGCTGGTAATGCCTCTTCGGGCAGAGACCTGGAGCAGATGAGAATTCCTTTTTCCTCTTCTTCGGCCGATCTGCGTGTTGCTGCAAGTAATTAGTTGGATCAGCGATGAGAGAGCTTATTATGCAAGTTACAGTGTTTTTCTGACAACTGCACGTCCTGCGACAACTGTTACTTCTCCAGTATTACTAAATAATCGAATCCTCCACACCGTGAAAACTCTTCACTGTGACTTCGACCGAAGCAAAAACTCACACAGGATTGATCTCGCCTCTCCTCGAGCTGTACTGGTGTGTTACTTCTACTAAGTTCTAGTACTGGGTCAACAGCTACCAGTAGCTAACGTACCACAGAAGCCTGCAACCTTGATTCCCATTCATACTAAGCCGTCCCTTGATCATGTCTGACACATCCTTTCTTCGCTACACTACAGTGAGTTGTTGTAGTGGTAGCTGATCTACTCACAGACTTCAGTGTGTCTTCTCTTGATCGAGAGATCTACTCGAGTCTCTGCTCTTTTGCCTGAGTTTTGGATTGCTATGCTGTCAACACAACAGCTTTTTCACTGCCAAAGACTAAAGTCAGTGCCACTGTACTGCAGTGCAGAATCCGAGACGCGCGAGTACATGATTGTACTCCATCCATGCATGCTGCATTGCATGCACACTGACTCACAGTCACACGTGATAGCTGCACGCAGCATGCACAGCCTCTGCATGCAGTCAGCTCAGCCACATGTGCACAGGGCTACCACACTGTGAGTCACCATAGCCTACAAAAGGACTAGTACGTAGTAGGAGAAGGCGCCTACATGATGTAGGCACTTCCCAGTTCACTGCACTGCGCCATCATTGATCATCATGATCGTTAAAGGGGAAGTTAAGGCAAAAATTAAAATTTCACCAGTTGTAGTCTTCGGGGTGCTGAGTCGAATGGTCTTGGTCCGAGAAAGCTGAGACGCTCCCTTCCTACTTGAATCCCAATCGAACTCGCGCACTTCCACCGAAACTGGGTGACTGCGCCCTACGAGATGGGGATTTGTATGCAAAATGTCACTAAAAGCGCCATTTCGTTCTTATAAAAGCACGGATGACCGCGATTGGCCCATATGTTGTAGTCTTTTGGACGCTGAGTCGACTGGTTTTGGTCCGAAAAGGCTGCGATGCAGCGTTCGCCCCTAATTCCCAATCGAACATGGTTGAACAAGCGGTCACGTGCTCCTGCGGACACCAGTCACCTGGTCACCGTGCCTGCAGGGTACAACTTACAGCCTGTTTTGACCTTTTTTGGGTGCAGTCCTGTCACTCGAGTTGAACCTTGGTGTGAAAGTTGTCGCCTGCTGGCGTGGTGACCAGGTGATTTTGGCACCCAGGAGCACGTGACCGCTTGTTCAACCATGTTCGATTGGGAATAAAGGAGTAACGCTGCATCGCAGCCTTTTCGGACCAAAACCAGTCGACTCAGCGTCCAAAAGACTACAACATATGGGCCAATCGCGGTCATCCGTGCTTTTATAAGAACGAAATGGCGCTTTTAGTGACATTTTGCATACAAATCCCCATCTCGTAGGGCGCAGTCACCCAGTTTCGGTGGAAGTGCGCGAGTTCGATTGGGATTCAAGTAGGAAGGGAGCGTCTCAGCTTTCTCGGACCAAGACCATTCGACTCAGCACCCCGAAGACTACAACTGGTGAAATTTTAATTTTTGCCTTAAAGGGGAAGTTAAGGCAAAAATTAAAATTTCACCAGTTGTAGTCTTCGGGGTACTGAGTCGAATGGTCTTGGTCCGAGGAAGCTGAGACGCTCCCTTCCTACTTGAATCCCAATCGAACTCGCGCACTTCCACCGAAACTGGGTGACTGCGCCCTACGAGATGGGGATTTGTATGCAAAATGTCACTAAAAGCGCCATTTCGTTCTTATAAAAGCACGGATGACCGCGATTGGCCCATATGTTGTAGTCTTTTGGACGCTGAGTCGACTGGTTTTGGTCCGAAAGGGCTGCGATGCAGCGTTCCGCCTTTATTCCCAATCGAACATGGTTGAACAAGCGGTCACGTGCTCCTGCGTACGCCAGTCACCTGGTCACCGTGCCTGCAGGGTACAACTTACTAGCCTGTTTGACCTTTTTTGGGTGCAGTCCTGTCACTCGAGTTGAACTCGAGTTGAACCTTGGTGTGAAAGTTGTCACCTGCTGGCGTGGTGACCAGGTGATTTGGGCACCCAGGAGCACGTGACCACTTGTTCAACCATGTTCGATTGGGAATAAAGGAGGAACGCTGCATCGCAGCCTTTTCGGACCAAAACCAGTCGACTCAGCGTCCAAAAGACTACAACATATGGGCCAATCGCGGTCATCCGTGCTTTAATAAGAACGAAATGGCACTTTTAGTGACATTTTGCATACAAATCCCCATCTCGTAGGGCGCAGTCACCCAGTTTCGGTGGAAGTGCGCGAGTTCGATTGGGATTCAAGTAGGAAGGGAGCGTCTCAGCTTCCTCGGACCAAGACCATTCGACTCAGTACCCCGAAGACTACAACTGGTGAAATTTTAATTTTTGCCTTAACTTCCCCTTTAAAGGGGAAGTATACCCTAAAATCAAATTTTCACCAGTTGTAGTCTTCGGGGTGCTGAGTCGAATGGTCTTGGTCCGAGGAAGCTGAGACGCTCCCTTCCTACTTGAATCCCAATCGAACTCGCGCACTTCCACCGAAACTGGGTGACTGCGCCCTACGAGATGGGGATTTGTATGCAAAATGTCACTAAAAGCGCCATTTCGTTCTTATAAAAGCACGGATGACCGCGATTGGCCCATATGTTGTAGTCTTTTGGACGCTGAGTCGACTGGTTTTGGTCCGAAAAGGCTGCGATGCAGCGTTCCTCCTTTATTCCCAATCGAACATGGTTGAACAAGCGGTCACGTGCTCCTGCGTACACCAGTCACCTGGTCACCGTGCCTGAAGGGTACAACTTACTAGCCTGTTTGACCTTTTTTGGGTGCAGTCCTGTCACTCGAGTTGAACTCGAGTTGAACCTTGGTGTGAAAGTTGTCGCCTGCTGGCGCGGTGACCAGGTGATTTGGGCACCCAGGAGCACGTGACCGCTTCTTCAACCATGTTCGATTGGGAATAAAGGAGGAACGCTGCATCGCAGCCTTTGCGGACCAAAACCAGTCGACTCAGCGTCCAAAGGACTACAACATATGGGCCAATCGCGGTCATCCGTGCTTTTATAAGAACGAAATGGCGCTTTTAGTGACATTTTGCATACAAATCCCCATCTAGTAGGGCGCAGTCACCCAGTTTCGGTGGAAGTGCGCGAGTTCGATTGGGATTCAAGTAGGAAGGGAGCGTCGCAGCTTCCTCGGACCAAGACCATTCGACTCAGCACCCCGAAGACTACAACTGGTGAAAATTTGATTTTAGGGTATACTTCCCCTTTAAGGAGGCTCCGAACAGTTGCGCAGCGCAGTGTAAAAAGGGCACCTCCGAAATCTGTTTTTTGCCGCGAGATTCAAAAAATGTTGTGTTCCATGCGGAAACAAGCTGTTGTTCAGAAAGAAGTTTTTTGATTTCTCTGTGCTCGCAGTTGTTCCAGGATGTAGTTCTACTCGTTGCAGGTTTCTGTAGCCGTGGCTGTTTCTACGCTGGAAAGAATCACTGGCCATGGCTAATGCAAAACAAAGGCAGTTCCTACGCTGCTTGATTTTTTTGTGAAAACTTTGTTGAAGCGGTACGATGTGGCCACGAAGAACAAAATATTATATTACTGACGAAGAAGGGTGAGAAAAGCAGGCTGAAGTCAGTGAAGACATCGATGTGGAACGTAGTGATACTAGTACTGGTACTGGAATTTAGCATGGACTACCTGTGGAGCGTGAAGTGGCTGCCCACTCGCTGGTAAGTGGACCCACTTGCAGCTCCAGTCGCACGAGTACCGTTTGAAACTTTCTGTGGATCCTAGAGTATCCTGAGCTCAGTGAACGACGCATCTCAGAGCTGCTGAACTTGGGCTACTGTCCCTGTAGGAATGAGGTTCGTGTCAACCACTGTACTGCACTGATGGTGTAAGGAAAACGCTGGCCAGAAGCTTGTGTTCTGAACCAGGACGAACTTCTAAATCCTGCTTTTGTAGAAATAGGGATGCCACAACTAAGATGTGCACACTCAGGTGTGTATTGGGTAAATGCCTGTGGTTGATTATTTTGGATCCTTTCCTATGCGCAAGTACATGCGTTTGTGTGTGTGTGTACGCACGCGCGCGCGTGTGTGTGTGTACGCGCGCGCGTGTGTGTGTACGCGCGCGCGCCCGACAGTGTGTGTGTGT